TCCCACCTCAGCCTCTCGAGAAGCTGGGATTGTAGGCGTGCACCACCATGCCTGGCTAATTTTGTATTTTTAGTAGAGGCGGAGTTTCTCCATGTTGGTCAGGCTGGTCTCAAACTCCTGACCTCAGGTGATCCTCCCGCCTCGACCTCCCAAAATACTGGGATTACAGGCATGAGCCACCGCACTCAGCCTTGCATTGTGGAATTTCTAAAGAAGAGGGAGAGAAGGTCAAGAGAGAATAGTTGAAGAAATAATGGCTGAAAAGTTTCCAAATTTGATGAAAGAGATGAATACAAACACAATAGCCTAACAAACCCCAAGTAAGATAAAGAGACCTACACCAAAACACATTATAATCAAACTTTCAAAAGTCAAAAAAAGAGAATCTTTAAATCGATAAGAGAAAAGCAACTGGTCATATGCCATAAATATTTAATAAGATTATCAACAGGTTTCTCATCAGAAACTTTGGAAGCTGGAAGGACAGGAAATCAAAAGCTGCCAACAGCCAGGAGCGGTGGCTCACATCTACAATCCTAACACTTTGGGAGGCTGAGGCGGGTGGATCACTTGAGGTCAGGAGCTCAAGACCAGCCTGGCCAACATGGCAAAACCCTGTCGCTACTAAAAATACAAAAATTAGCCAGGCATGGCCCAGCTACTTGAGAGACTGAGGTAGGAGAATCACTTGAACCTGGGAGGCAGAGGTTGCAGTGAGCCAAGATCGCACCAGTGCACTCCAGCCTGGGTGATAGAGTGAGACTCCATCATAATAAACAAACAAACAAACAAAAGCTGCCCATGAAAAGGAAAAGGATCAATAAATGGGTATTCCAAAAAGTCAAAAGTCACACAAATATCAAGCCAAAATAAACTGGTTCCCTGACTGCAAATTGAACCCAGGCTATGGCAGCAAAAGCACAGAACTTTAAGTACTGAATTGCAAGGTAGAGCAGACTTTACTGTGAATCCTGGAAGGGATCCAGAGCAGGCAGTTTAAGCTTATGAAGAATTTTAACTTTGTTTTGGGTCAAATTTTGTTCTTTCATTTAGTCAAGGGAATTTTTTTCCCTACACAACACAGATAATATTGTCAAGAGAATTTTTAAGGGTAGCCATGGCACTAGTATGTGCCTTGCTTTAAATTTGATCTTCCTATCAACTGTTTAAAATAAGAGATCTCTAAAATCTTTTTTTTTTTTTTTTAAATTCAGGTGTCTAAGGGATCCATCTTCAGTCCACTGTCAACTAGAATTTAGAATGGTATAATTATTCCAAAAGCAATTCAACCAAATAGCCTCTTTGTGGAAAGCCCAGGATGTCATTTTCCAGGTTAACTTCCTGGGAAGGTCATACAAGAGGCAATCCCAATGATTGCCCTCCAAGAAAAAAGTTCAATGCAAGGAGTAGGCCACAGATGGTTAAGGATGATGTTTGCCTCCAGTAACCCACACATTTGTGGGGGCTTCCAGTCACAGACCTGTGAATCTGTTATACCAGGTAGGTCCTCTTGGGATTGAGCTTTCCTCGGACTAACCAGGCAACAAAAGTTGAGACGACAAAAGCCTTGAAGGGATGGGATTTCTTAAGACAAATCCCAAGAGCTTGACATAGTCAGAGCAAACAGTGTGCTCACATTCCCAGCCATTTTCAGACAGGCCACCTACTATAACCTGAAAATTACCACCTCTTTCCAGATACCGAAAACCAAGAGAAAGTGCTCCCACTTGGTCACAAGTCAAGCTCTCAAGGACATCAAATAAGATGAGAAGGAACCTCAACCAGTATCCTCTTTTATGACAGAATAACACATAGAGACAAAGACAAAGGAACAGACAATTTCTGGGAAGAAAGGGATTAAACAATATGAATTGGTACCACAAAGTACCAAAAAGCACACCAGAGTCACTACACCCAAGACTAGTCACACAAATCCTTTTCTCCCATTAATCAAGATTTTGGAGAGGGAAAAGAAAGAAACAGTGATTTTTACTATCCACTTGAACAGATTCCACACAGAGAAGGAGGCCGGGAGCCTGGCTGGTAAAAAAAATTCTTACCCTTATGACAGCTGATCAGATCCTGGGTTCTTCACTGCAGCTTCCAGAAGAGCAAAGCTTTGCTATCCTGCTTACAGCTCCAAAACTGTAGAGGTCAACGGAAATCCCCTCTTAACCCTCTGAAGTTTCACTCCAAAATCAAGTCACAAAAGGCAGACTAATTGGAGAAAAGGCATAAAATGTACTAACATGTACATGGGGAGAGTCACAGAGTGATTACCCTACCCTACCCACAATGGGATGCAGAAGCTTATATACCATCTCAAGGTAACAGAATGAATGAGAGCACAAAGCATGGCCAAAACCAGGTACCATCAGAGTCAGAGGTATGTCCATTTATTGTGGGAAAGACAGGTTATGGGAGGGAGAGAAGAGGAGGCTTGGCTAGCAAAGTTGGTCTTAATATGTAAATGAAACCTTACAGGTAGCAGCTCTCAGAGAGAATAAACCCTAAAAGTTTCTTTCAGACCTTTACAGGTGTCAGACTTTCAGTTCATCTCTCCTAGATCTGGGCAAAGAAAGACTTGGCTGCATCAATGCAGACTCTCTACAGATGCAAATCTCCCCAACAAAAGACAACGTTGCAGGGCTACTTCTGCAGCTGGCTCTCTGAACAGACATCTCAAAATATGTCAAAGAAATGTATTTTGGGGTAAAATATTTTTAATTCCTTGACGTCTACATCCTGATGCACCTGCCATTTCAACACACCATTGTTGGTGGCAACTCCATTCTTCCCTACACTCAAGCCAAAAAAACAGATTCTCCTTGAGGCTAGTCTGTTTCTCACAGCACACATACAATTTGTCAGAAAAATTCTGTTTCCTGGTTGGTTAATTACAGACTTTGATCTGCCTAATCTTTCTCTTTCTTGGTCTCTGAATTTTGGCAAAGGAGTCTCCTGATACAGGCGGGATCGATTCTAATGAGGAGTCTCAAAACCGTCAGACATTTAAGAGCCTTAATCTCTGGGTAGGGTTTGGGCTGCCCTTGAACCTTTCCTTTGGGCCTACCCGTCAAAATCAACCTGGCCAGGCCTGTCTTCAAGGCGCAGGGGCAGGGCCAGGTCCTCCTGATGCTTCTTGAAGCTTCTCCTGCCAGGTTGGCAGCCACCCTCCCCTTCCCTGTGACCTGCAGAGAAGCTCCAGGGGGCATTTATTCAATTTGCTAGGAACCCAGGAGGCACAGGTGCGAGGTGACTCTGTGGTTCCCACCGCACCCGCCGCCCTCCTTGGTCCTCTCGCTGTCTCTGGTGGGCAGTAACGTCCCAGGTGAGCGTGGGTGAAGATACCCAGCCAGGGAAGGACCAGTAGGGAATGGCACCAGCCCCTTAGGTCCTTTGTAGTAGGGATCTGAAAAAGGTCTTGAAGAAATAGAACGGGAGAGTTGGGAGTAGATCAAAGGGAAAGAAAGAAATCCTGGAGATTGCCTATCTGAAGGCACCACGAAGAGAAAGGCCGCCTCCTCTGGGCCGGGTCCTCACGTCGCTGGTGAACCGAGTTCTGGTCTCCGTTGGAGACCAAATCAGTTGACTTTGGCTTGACTCCTAGTGAAGAAGCCACATTTTGTCCTCCCCTGTTTAGCTCTTGATCCTGAAGGACTTGATTGTCTCTCTCGGGCTTTTGATGGATTCCAGGGATGCAACTGAGAAGTTTGTATTTAATGCACTTACTTGAAGTAAGAATAATTTCAAGTATTTTTGCAAAGAAAAATGTTTCCTTTTGCACTGAAGACATTCAGATGTGAGGAAAATCACTTGGCTGGGGAAAGCAAATGCTGTTGACAATGTCTCACAAACACAAATTACACGTCAGCAGGTAGGTTTGACTCTCAGGTTGGGCACATTTTAAGTGCACTGTTGGTGGAACTTAAGATGAATTAACGACATTCATGATTATTATTTTTAGTTTTTTTAGTAAAATTTAATATTTTAATTTAAATACACAATCTGAAAATTATATAACCAGCACAAGAAACCGGCTTTATGCCATTTTTACAAACACAGGAAAGAAAGATACTATAATGACAATGCTTCATTAATGGCAACATTTTTAAAGTACCTTGAGAAAAAAAGTTAACCTAGAATTCTATGCAAAAATAAAATTTCAAAACTGTGAAATAAGGACAGTGAAAAACATACAAAAGCTAAAAGAATTCACCAACCCACACTACAAGAAATCTTAAGAGTCCTCCAGGCAGAAGCAAAAGGATACCAAATAAAATGTGGGCCCATACAAAGAAACCAATATTGGAAATGGCATTTAGAAAGCATGTACTACACATTTTCTTATAATTTAAATCTTTTAAAAATATTTGACATAATAAATAAAAGTAATAATAATGAATCCCAAAGCTTATAATGCATAAAGTAAAAATATATAACACTGGGATAAAGGCCAGAAAAGGAGGTATAATGACACTTGAAAGCAGACTGTGATAAATTAAAGATGTATCCCAGAAAGCAGCCACTGAAATAAGAAAAGGGTTATGGCTAATAAAGCAACAAAAGAAAGAAAACGGAATGAAGTAAAAGCTATGTAAACACTATCCTGGAACAACTGCTCTCCAGGCCTCCACCCTATAGAAATATACCAGTGGGCAATGAGAAGTGTACAAGAATGATGCCTGCAGCACTATTGTAATCATAAAATAATGGAACCAACATAATTTTAAAGATACATGAAAAGAGTTTTATTTATTTAGCAAACAGACAATTGAACAAACAAACAATGGAAGCAAGTCCTTTGCCAAAAGGAACACAGAGGGTCATGATTTTGCTACTCCTCCAAGGATTTCAGGGTTCCCAGACGCCTAGTTTTCTGTTTAGTTCTGGAAGATGTTATTCTTGGGGAGCAATAGGTCCTCGAGTTTGGGGCTCTTTCAGGTTCTCTCTCCATTTCCCCATTCTGCTACAATAAATAAACAAACAAAAACAATTCTCACTTCCAGAAGATCCCGCCTGTGCCTCTGCACGAGCCTTTCAGGAGGTCTGGAGGTCTGGTCCGCCGCTCCCCGGCTTCTTTCCAGGCTTTTGCTTTTCCCCTCCCCCGCTCCCGCTCTACGGCCCCAGGACCAGACCACGGCCCAGCTGAGTTCCCGCGGCTCCACCGCGCAGAAGGTGCACCGGAGGCCCTGCCAGTTGCCTGCCCCGCGGGGGTGCCGAGAAATCAACGATTTGTAAACAGAACTTCCTCACGGAAAATATCTCTTGATTTCCACTCTCAGGGTTCTTCAAAGGACTAAAAGCTAAAGGCGACGATGGATTCATTCGGCAAGTCCTAGTCGGGCGCCCTGGTGAGTGCCAGACCCTGCTCCCCGCAAGGGGACCCACGAACGACCCTCGCCACCATCCCTGCCCTGGTGGAGCCCCCGTGCGGGACACAGGATCCGAAGATGGCAGCGGCAGCTCCGCAGCGGCCCCGAAAGCAACTGGGCAGGGTGGGCACAGGCTCCCTCACTGGCTGAAGGCGGCGCAGAGAACGGGAAGAGCCATCCTGGGAGCCCACCGTGCGTTCAGCTTCCCTTGGGACCCCAGGCGGCTCGGGCTGGGTCGCCGACCGGGGAGTTTCTGGGGGCTTCTGAAGAAGGAGAGGGGCAAGGCGGGCGAAGGCCATTCGGCTCTCCCTCTGGCTCCAAAATCTCCTAACGCGCAGGTGTCCAACGTGACCAGCGCGACTCACCGCTCTAATCTTTCTGGTTTTCCAAGGCCTTGCTCAGTCGTCCTGCCGGGCGGGCCCTGAGAATAGAAGGAAAGGAGGAAGTTTAGTGAGTGCGCCCTTCCTGTGTCGCCTAGTAAGTTCGAAAGCACTTGTCTCTGTGGCGCAATCGGTTAGCGCGTTCGGCTGTTAACCGAAAGGTTGGTGGTTCGAGCCCACCCAGGGACGCTTACTGCAACTTTTAAAGCATGCGCGCATTGTCAATCACTAGGCAAACGGGGAAGATTTTATCTTCCCGGAGTAACAAACCACTAATTTATGACTGATCCATGTCAAGGACCAGCCCACCTCCCGGACCAGACTCTTAACAGGGTATCTCCTGAAATGGCAGGTTTACACCTGCGTAACTCAAGAATCCTGAAACAGAGACCTAGGAACCCACTTGTGGTGTGATAAAATTCTAATTCAGTCCGTTATACGCTTAAACAAGTAATTTACGTGCCTCCATTTTTTCATATTTTAGTAATAGGAGTCCAGTAGTATCCCCAGGATGTGACTGGATTTACTGATTGTTCTATCAATAATGTGACCAGTGGAATCTGTCATCATCATAGTGATCCTCTCCATCATTTTTGAAAACAGTATTTTTCCTCAGTTTGTGCATGATTTATTTAACCCTTTTCAAAATGTTTTTGTTAGCCAGGCATGGTGGCATGCACCTGTAATCTCAGCTACTCGGGAGGCTGAGGCAGGAGAATTGTTTGAACTTGGAAGGTGGAGGCTGCAGTGAGCTGAGATCGCTACACACCAGCCTGAGCAACAGAGTGTGACTCCATCTCAAAACAAAACAAAAAAAAATGTTTTTGAGATGAGGTTGGTTTCATGGTTTTAGGATTACAAAGAATGCTGCAGCCACCATTCTTGTACACATATCTTTGGTCATTGTGGAAATGTCTACACCGCAGATATTTCTATAGTGTAGAGAACTGGATGCGCCATTGCTACATTATAGTGTTTATATAACGCTTCTAATTTGAGTACATTCTGCAAATGTATCTTTCACGGGAGCAATACCTAATAATATTCCAATATGAATATTTACAAGAGGAAAAATGTGCAGATGTGCAACTGAGCTTCGTGCCTCTCCATGGGGCCCATGTTCATAAAATGGTGGCATTAGCTATCTGAGAGTGGAGTTTGCAGCCCTCTGACGTCAAAAGCTGAAACAGAGGACATGAAAACCCTCACTGCACATCCTCTGTAGTCTGGCCAGAATCATTCCTAGGTCGGTGGTCTCTTATCAGGAGGGAATGCTGCTTGCTTGCTTTGTCAAAACCACAAAAGGCAGGGAAAGTGTCAGGCTGCTGGTTGATAACAGTAGTGAAGCAAGTCTTTCAAAAGGGTTGGTTTGTTAACCCTTAGGGAAAAAAATCCTAATTCTTACCAGATGGTGCCATGCAGTTCCAGGCTCTTGGTGTCCCAAACAAAGAACTGTGCATGACACACACAAAGCAGCAAAGCAAAGCAAAAGTTTATTAAGTACAGTAACACTCTCAGAGTGGGGAGAGTGGGCTGACCTCTGGGAGATGAGATCAGTATTAGTTTGGTGTACTTTGGGTCTTTTCATGTGTGGTTTTTATTCTTCTCTTCACAAGGATGCCTACTCTTTAGCCAGTGTTTGCCTTTAGATTGATAGGTGGGTTGCTTAGTTACTTTGGCCCTTGTGTGCTTGCACATTGCCTCCATCCCATAATTTTAAGTACATGCATGATATGTAGTCCAAATACATGAGTTTTTTTTTTTTTTTTTTTTTTTTTTTTTTTTTGAGACGGAGTCTCGCTCTGTCGCCCAGGCTGTAGTGCAGTGGCCGGGTCTCAGCTCACTGCAAGCTCCGCCTCCCGGGTTCACGCCATTCTCCTGCCTCAGCCTCCCGAGTAGCTGGGACTACAGGCGCCCGCCACCTCGCCCGGCTAGTTTTTTGTATTTTTAGTAAAGACGGGGTTTCACCATGTTAGCCAGGATGGTCTCGATCTCCTGACCTTGTGATCCGCCCGTCTCGGCCTCCCAAAGTGCTGGGATTACAGGCTTGAGCCACCGCGCCCGGCCCAAATACATGAGTTTTAATGAGCTGATTATCATATGGAGTCAGGTTAAGGATACTTTTTTTCTTGAATGCACATGTCTATCTCTGAGGAGCTGCCCCTTTACTGCTTTGGATCTTGCCAGCAATGGGGATCCTTGCTGGGTTTTTTTGTTTTTTTTTTGTTTTGTTTTTTTGGTTTTTTTTTTGAGACAGAGTCTGGAGTGCAGTAATGCAATCTCGGCTCGCTGCAACCTCCGCCTCCCAGGTTCAAGCGATGCTCCTGTCTCAGCCTCCTGAGTAGCTGGGAGTACAGGAGTGCACCACCACGCACAGCTAGCTTTTTGTATTTTTGGTAGAGACCAGGTATCTCCATGTCGGTCAGGCTGGTCTCAAACTTCTGACCTCAGGCGATCTGCCCGCCTTGGCCTCCCGAAATGCTGGGATTACAGGCGTGAGCCACCGCACCCAGGCTTGCTTGCTTTTTTTAATCTTACTTTTTGTTTTGGCTACTCAACTTCTGCCTTTTATTTTCCTTCTTGCTCTCCCACCCCATCACCTTGCTTCTGTTTCTGCTTTTACTCATTCTGCCTTTTATCCAACTTCCAATTCCCTCTGCTGTTCTGCCTATAATGGCAGTTAGTGAGGGAGGGGTTTTAAGGGGGCATGTCCGACATCCTATCCTGTCACAGCCAGAAACAGCTTTCAAGGCTTCTCTGAGGTCCTGTCAGCCAAGAGGGAGTCCATTCAGTTCGTTGTAGGGCCTAGGGCTTATTTTTATTTCTCAATCCTGACAAGGGAAGGCTGGATTAATGCAGATTCTCTCCAGGTGTAAATTTCCCCTACAAAAGATACTTTTGCAGAGTTACTTCTGTTTGCTGGCTCTCTGACAGTCGTCTTAAAATATGCCAAAGAAATATATTCTGGAGTAAAATATTTTGATTTTTTCATCTATCTACAGCTTCACCATGCTGACAGCGTCCAGTCCAAGCATACCTGAAGCCTTTCTTTTTAAAAAGCTTTCCCACCCTTCTGACTGCCTTCAAGTCTCTACCAAAACACAAGTAACAGTGGCTGACTCCCTGCTATAGCAAACTCAGAATAAATAGCTTTTGCTTTTTTTCATTTGGTTGGTCTTCGTTTATTTGCAGAAGCTTCAATGTAGAGTTGACAAGGACTCCATCTTTTACCAAACTTTAGTGCTTTCCTTTGAGCCCTTTTCTCTATTGGTTTCTGAAAGTCCAGTTTCAGAAAATAATACTGTTGAGTCTAGCTTAGCAAAAGTCCTCCCAACCACCTTTGATAGCTAATCAAGTTCCTCTTAGTAACTTTCCATCCACTGACTTTCTTATCTTGCAATTGGCTATAATCTTCAACTCTTCCTGCTGTATTTGAGGTTGAGCTCAGTTCTCTGCTGGTCTCTCTTGCCTACTGTAGTACATAAAATCCATCTCAGGTTTTTAACAAGTGTCCAGGGTAGTCCCTCTGAAACTACTTTTGCAAAATTCTGACAATAAGAGAAAGCTGACATGGCTGACTCCATCTTGGTTCTAGCCTCACAGGCTGGCTGTCTTTGCTCATTCCTGTGCAATTTCTCCCAAGCTCTCTTTGGGAAAAATTGAGTTTATAGTTTAAATAAGAGGTCCCCAACCCCCAGGGTCACAAGACAGGTACTGGTTCATGGCCTGTTAGGAACCCAGCCAAACAGCAGGAGGTGAGCTGCAGGCTTTCAAGCATTACCCCCTGAGCTCCGCCTCTTGTCAGATCAGCATCGGCATTAGATTCTCATGGGAGCTCAGACTCTATTGGGAACTGAGCATGTGAGGGATCCAGATTGCGCACTCCTTATGAGACTCTAACTAATGCCTGATGACCTGAGCAGGAACAGTTTCATCCAGAAACCATCCACCACCCCCTTCCATGGAAAAACTGTCTTCCATGAAACCAGTCCCTGGTGCCAAAAAGGTTGGGAACAGCCAAAAAGATTTGTTTAAATGATAACCTTCCCCAAAACTAAGTTACCCCTGTAAAACTAATGAAAGGCCACCAAGTTAGGAGGATGAAAGGGGCATGAATTCTACTAAGATGTATGCCTCATTAAATAATTACCAGTCATTATTCCAGAGGTCACAAGATTTGCAGCTTCCCCAATTACTGCTGTGAAGAACATCACTATTGTAGAACCTAAGATTGGCCTCTTGAGATGTCTTTTCAGGCTTTTGCATTTCTGACTACTGGATGGCACCATTTGGCCCGAAAATCAACCAGTCCCTTTGACCCCACCCAGAAGCTGACTCAATGCGGGAGGGCCATTTCCACTTCCCTGTGATTTCATCCCTAACGATCCGCACTGCCCAAACCTTAGCGCCCTCCCCACCAAACTATCTTTGAAAAATCCCTTACCTCCAAGCCTTCAGTGAGATTGATTTGAGTAGTAACTCTGTCTCCCACAGGTTGTGGCTGGCCTGTGTCAATGAAACTCTTTACTGCAATGCCATGGTCTCCACGAATTGATTTTGTGTGTACAGTGGGCAGGAAGAACCCATCAGGCGGTTACATCTGCAGGATGGTGCCAGTTCTTTCCACAAAGGCTGGTCAGATACCCAGAAAGTATTTCTCCACTACTACCTGGACAATGTGTCTCCCTGTCAGTATCCAGGGAATGGGGCCTGGATCAAGTATTTAGTATTTAGCAGTTGCTACACTGTCACCTAATCCCTCATTTTCAATATTTTGCCATGCCTTCCAGTGGCCTAACTGGCCGCCATGCCACAGAATCTTTACTTTATGGTCTCCAAGGAGAACTCTCCACTCGATGTTTTGTGATTTGAGCAATGGAATAGAATCTGATACTGGTGGGCTGGGGGAGGTTCCTCGACCTGGTTTGACCTTGATCATAGCTGTGGTGTCCAGGCTCTTGACACCATCTTGAGAATAAGTCGAGGATGAGTCAGCAAATAGTGAAAGAAGAGATTTTATTGCAAAGCAAAAAGTACACACTCAAGAAAGGTGAGTTTGGGCATATCCGAGAGGGAACAATGGGTTCTGGGGTTTCATCTTGATGGGTTTCTTTAACCAAAGAGTGGAATATTCATGAAAATTCCTGGGTAAAGGTGGAGATGTCTCAGAACTGTGGTGCCATTCATTTTTACATCAAATATTGGTCTCAGAACTGTCATGGCACTGGTGGGTGTGTGATTTAGTATGTTAATGAGCATATAATGAGGACCTAGGTAAAACCTGTGTCAAATCCAGCACCACATTGGGTTTAGTCAGTCTTAGCCAGCTTGGTCCACACCCTGGTTTTTCAGCATCTTCTCAGCCCGTAGCCTCAAGTCATGTAAATCTGCTGCCTAGAATTTGTTATTCTGTGACCACCCTGTATTATTCCTGTCTCAAATCTGCTTATAAATATTCAAATGGTTTTTGACTTGGGCATTCCAACTTTGCTTACTTCACAGTGTTTCCTGTGTTATAATCCAATATAAGAAAAGATGATCCAGACATGTGTTAAACATCTCAAATAAGATGGATCCCAGGTATTTGTGTCAAATTTGGATTATTTTGGTTTTTGTCTTCGCAGAATATAAAATACTAACATGAGGTGAGCACTAAGGTCTGGAGATGGCTGTGCAAGAGATGACAAAGTCCAACACCACGCTTGAGAGTGTTCAATCATCTCTTCTGGGGCAGCATAATTTTCTACAATACTGAATTTGGAAAGAAAAAAAAAACTAAGAGATTCATGAAACTGGACAACTGTCTTTATAACATTACCAGTGATAAAATCAGTAAGGAAGGCTGGTTTACAGTCATCTGAGCGGCCTCTTTACTTTCATAAATATGGTTTCTTGCTGATATTGAATGGCTTCCAATTTCAAGCGTAATGCTACATTACATGGCTAAGGGTGTGAAGAGAACCGGTTTCTTTTGTAATCTTAAACGTTCTAGTCCGAGAATTAAAAGCCATTATTTGAAGAAGGGTGCCCAGGGTCCAGCTGGCCGCCCAAAGGTTGCTTCACAACACAGGTTAAGGACCCGCTTCTTTGGGAGAGAACAGATGCGGTGGCGGAGGCAAAAAGGGAGAGGAAGACGTCACTTCCTCTTGCCGGCTCCGGCAGCGGGTTGGTCGGCTAAGTGACAGAAAAGCAGACGGGGACTGGGAAAGGCACTGTCGGTGACATCACGGATAGGGCGACTTCTATGTAGATGAGGCAGCGCAGGGGCTGCTGCTTCGCCACCTGCTGCTTCGCCATGAAGGAGTTCCCCTGCCATGAGAGCGAGTTCAGGACCGCTGGTCGGAACTGAGAGTCCCAGCTGTGTGTCAGGGCTAGAAGGGCTCGGGAGTGCGCGGGGCAAGTGACCGTGTGTGTAAAGGGTGAGGCGTATGAGGCTGTGGCTGGGCAGAGGGGCCAGACCTCATACTTACCTGGCAGGGGAGATACCATGATCACGAAGGTGGTTTTCCCAGGGCGAGGCTTATCCATTGCACTCCGGATGTGCTGACCCCTGCGATTTCCCCAAATGTGGGAAACTCGACTGCATAATTTGTGGTAGTGGGGGACTGCGTTCGCGCTTTCCCCTGAGTTTGTTGTAGATTAAAGAATAGGCTATACGCTAAAGGTTACTTTCTTCTACGGGTTTGGGTCTTGGGTGGCGTCTTAAGTGCAATTCTTGTACTCGGAAGGCTGGGGAGTAGTAAGTAACAAGTCACCATTCTTTCCTCCGCAAGAGAAATATGAAGCGACAGCCCTTGTGAGCCTTTTTAATACAAGCTAACTCGCGCGAAGGCCGTACAGCTCTTCCCTTTCTAAGAGGGACTGCTTCTTGAAGAGATTGGTCCATGGTTTCCAGTCTCTTGGGTCCTCACGCTGTGTAAAAATCTTCGTGTTTTTCCCTATCCCCCAGTCACCTTTTACACAGACTCTGCTTCTAACCGCAGCCCCCACAGGAGTTTGTGGGATTTCTGTGCTAGCGGGGAATGTGTTCTCACCTCATAGAGCCAGGTATAAACTAGGCAGACGGGCGCTGTTCTTTGGGGTGAAAGCAGAGCCTTTGGGGCTCTTAGTGTCCCCTTTGGCTGTAGACATAACAGGCTTACTTTGTTTAGGGGAACGGCTCTGCCGGCGCCCAGGTGCCCTAACGCAATTCATCTAGGCCCCCAGGTCAGAACCGCAGTCTCAACTGTCTTGGCGGAAATGCGCTGCGATCCGCCCTGAAATATAAGGCGGGAAATTTTATGAGAAGCCGGTCCAGTTTCCCTGCTGTCTCCTGCCGTTTACATATCTAGTCTTTCTTCAGACTTTATTTAAGCGACAGCTTCTTGTTTGATGTCTCGATTCCACATCCTACATCCATTGCCAGGCAACTTTCTAGATAGCACTCCCACCCATCCTTCTGCCTCCAAGCAGCCCTTTCCTATTTCTGACGCCAGCGTCCTCCCCCTTCCCTCTTTCTTCAGACCCTCGCTTATCACCTTCATGGACAGAAAATACTTAGCTCTCTCTCAACCTGCGGTTTACACCTGACACGCGTCAGTACCCTGGCAAATTCCTTAATACCCCTTCTCAAATGGCACTGTAAGTTCATCTCTTTTTAACTCCCAGAAGTATCTAATTGGTTTTGTCTCTGCACTACATGAATACTAGTATCCACTACAGAAGAAAACCCCAGGCCTAGCAATGGCGGTTCTGGACATTTTGCCAGCCTCTCCCAGGATGTGTTTTCTGACCTCACCTACTTCTGATCAACTGAGGTCAGGAGTTCGAGACCAGCCTGACCAACATGGCGAAACCCTGTCTAAAAATACAAAAAAAAAAAAAAAAAGAACGAAAGAAAGAAAGAGAGAGAGAGAGAAAAGGAAGGAAGGAAGGAAAGAAAGAGAAGGAGAGAAAGAAAGAAAGAAGAAAGAAAGAGAGAGAGAGAGAGAAAGAAAAGAGAAGAGCCGAGCGTGGCGGTGTGTGTCTGTAATCCCAACTACTCGGGAAGCTGAGGCAGGAGAATCGCTTGAACCAGGGAGGCGGAGGTTGCAGTGAGCCGAGATCGCGCCATTGCATTGCACCCCAGGCTGGGCGACAGAGTGAGACTCTGTCCAAAAAAAAAAAAACAAAAAACAATTAGTCTAT